AAAGAGAAGCGAGAAGCGAGAAGCAGCAGCGAGAGCGAAGCGAAGAAGCGAAGAAGCGAAACGAACTGAAGCGAAGGAGAAGCAGGAGAAGCAGAAGAAGCAGAATCTGGAGAAGCAGAAGCAGAAAGAGAAGCAAAAGCAGAAGGAGAAGCAGAAGGGGAAGCAGAAGAAACAGAAGAAGCAGAGGCAGTAGCAGAAGAAGCAGAAGATGCAGAAGCAGAAGGAAAAGCAGAAGAGCGAGAAGGAGAAGGAGTAGGAGAAACAGAAGGAGAAGCAGAAAGAGAAGCAGAAGAAGGAGCAGGAGAAGGAAAAGCAGCAGGAGAAGCAGAAAGAGCAGCAGAAGGAGAAGCAGGAGATGCAGAAACTTGAGAAGCAGAAGCAGAAGAAACAGGAGAAGGACAAGAAGCAGAAGCAGAAGGACAAGCAGAAACAGAAGGAGAAGCAGGAAGAGAAGGAGGGAAAGCAGAAGAAGCAGAAGCAGGAGAAGCAGAAGCATAAGAATGTGAAGGAGAACCTGAAGCAGAAGGACAAACAGGAGAAGCAGAAGAAGCAGAATCTGAAGAAGCAGAATAAGAAGCAGAAGGAGAAGCAGAAGCAGAAAGAGAATCAAAAGCAAAAGGAGAAGGACAAACAGGAGAAGCAGAAGAAGCAGAATCTGAAGAAGCAGAATAAGAAGCAGAAGGAGAAGCAGAAGCAGAAAGAGAATCAAAAGCAAAAGGAGAAGCAGAAGAAACAGAAGAAGTAGAAGCAGAAGCAGTTGTAGCAGAAGCAGAAGGAAAAGCAGAAGAACAAGAAGGAGAAGGAGAAACAGAAGGAGAAACAGAAGGGGAGGCAGAAAGAGACGCAGGTAAAGCAGAAGAAGAAGAAGCAAAAGGAGAATCAGAAGGAGAAGCAGAAGAAGGAGAAGGAGAAACAGAAGAAGATGCAGAAGGAGAAGCAGGAGAAGCAGAAGAAGCAGAAGCAGGAGGAGAAGCAGGAAAAGCAGAAGAAGCAGAAGCAAAAGAAGGAGAAGCAGAATCAGAAGCATAAGGACAAGCACAAGCAGAAGGAGATGCAGAAGGAGAAGCAGGAGAAGCAGAAGAATCAGAAGCTGAAGGAGAAGCAGAAGTAGGAGAAGGAGAAGGAGGAGAAGCAGAAGGAGAAGCAGAAGCAGAATGAGAAGCAGAAAGAGAAGCAGGAGAAGGACAAGAAGCAGAAGAAGGAGAAGCCGAAAGAGAAGAAGCAGAAGAAGCAGAAACATTAGCAGAAGGAGAAGCAGAAGCAGAAGGAGAAGCAGCAGAAGAAGTAGAACCAGAAATTCAGGCAGGAGAAACAGAAGAAGCAGAAGCAGAAGCAGAAGGAGAAGCAAAAAGAGAAGCACAAGGAGTAGTAAAAGAAGCAGCAGAAGGAGAAGCAGCAGAAGAAGCAGAAAAACAAGCAGGAGAGGCAGAAGCAGAAAGAGAATTAGAAGCTGAAGAAGCAGAACCAGAAGAAGAAGCAGTAGAAGCATAAGAAGCAGAAGCAGGAGAAGCAGAAGCAGAAGAAAAAGAAGAAGCATAAGAAGCAGAAGTAGAAGCAGAGGGAGAAACAGAAGAAGGAGAAGGAGCAGCAGAAGTGAAGCAGATGAGATGCAGAAGCAGAAAGAGAAGCAGAAACAGAAGGAGAAGTTGGAGAATCAGAAGAAGCAGAAGCAGAAGAGAAGCATAGGTAGGAGAAGGAGAAGCAGAAGCAGAAGGACAATCAGGAGAAGCAGAAGCAGAAGCAGAAGAAGCAGATGAAGAAGAAGAAGAAGAAGAAGAAGAAGAAGAAGAAGAAGAAGAAGAAGAAGAAGAAGAAGAAGAAGAAGAAGAAGAAGAAGAAGAAGAAGAAGAAGAAGAAGAAGAAGAAGAAGAAGAAGAAGAAGAAACAGAAGAAGGAGAAGGAGCAGAAGGAGAAGCAGAAGCAGAAGGAGAAGCAGAAATAGAAACAGAAGCAGAAGAAGCAGTTTCAGGAGAAGCAGAAGCAGAAGAAACAGAAGAAGCTGAAGAAGCAGAAGGAGAACCTGAAGCAGAAGGAGAAGCAGAAGCAACAGAGGCTGGAAAAGCCGAAGCAGAAGATACAGAACAAGCAGAAGAAGCAGAAGCAGAACGAGAAGCAGAAGAATAAGAAGGAGAAAGAGAAGGATTAGGAGTAGGAGGAGCAGAAGCAGAATTAGAAGCAGAAAGAGAAGGAGAAGGAGAAGCAGAAGGAGAAACAGAAGAAGCAGAAGCAGGAGAAACAGAAGCAGAATGAGAAGCACAAAAGGAGAAATTGAAGGAGAAGGAGAATGAGATGGAGAAGCAGACGGAGAAGTAGGAGAAGCAGAAGAAGGAGAAGCAGGAGAAGCAGAAGCAGAAGAAACAGAAGAAGGAGAAAAGCAGAAGCAGAAGGAGAAACAGAAGCAGAAGGAGAAGCAGAAGAAGCAGAAGCTGAAGCAGAAGAAACTGAAAAAGCAGAAAAAGAAGAAGAAGGAGAAGAAGAACAAGAAGGAAAAGCAGAAGAAGAAGAAGGAAAAGGAGAAAGAGAAGGATTAGGAGTAGGAGAAACAGACGGATAAGCAGAAGCAGAAAGAGAAGGAGAAGGAGAAGCAGGAGAAGCAGAAGAAGCAGAAGCAGGAGAAGCAGAAAAAGAATGAAAAGCAGAAGAAGGAGAAATTGAAACAGAAGAAGATGCAGAAGGAGAAGCAGAAACAGAAGGAGAAGCAGAAATAGAAGCAGAAGAAGCTGAAGAATCAGAAGCAGAACCTCAAGCAGAAGGAGAAGCAGGAGAAGCAGAAGAAGCAGAATCTGGAGAAGAAGGAGAACCAGAAGGAGAAGCAGAAGCAGAAAGAGAAGCAAAAGCAGAAGGAGAAGCAGAAAGAGAAGCAGAAGAAACAGAAGAAGCAGAAGCAGAAGCAGTAGCAGAAGAAGCTGAAAATGCAGAAGCAGATAGAGAAGCAGAAGGAATAGCAGAATAACGAGAAGGAGAAACAGAAGGAGAA